GGCAGCAGTAAAAACACCCCACATCAGCTCTCACAGCAACTGCCTCTAGCCAGCCCGAGTAAGCTACAGTCTATGGCACCCTCACACCATTGCAGCCAGAAGGGCAGTCCTGCGTCAGTGGAGAGAGACAGTCCTGCCCTAACTTGCCAGTCTTCCAGCCTCACCATCCTGCCTGAATGTCAGGAGAGACAAGCAGGGCTCAGAGAAAAGACAGATGGACTGACCCATAACTCAAGGCCACCCAGGACCCTGTCTGCATTCAGCCCCAGGCAGTGCTGCAGGACACAGCGGGGAGAGGGCATGGGCCTCAGGGAACCAAAGAAAGACCTAAACTTGAAGGTACCACTGACAGAAGGCCCAGCCCTCCCTGGCTGCTCAGGGATCCCATCACTCTCCAGCTCACTGCTGGGAAACACCCAGGCCCCTCCACACACCATGCCCACCTGTAGATGGAGATGTTCTCAACCACCTCCTTTGTGTCTGCATCCTGCAGTGAGATGCCCCTCGGAGACACTGTCAGAATCACCTTCTGGAACTTGCGAGCTCCCACCCGTGCCTGGCAGTGGGGAGACACCAGACACCTCTGTAAATCTGGCAAAGGTCTTCACCCCCCTCACTGGCAGGAGTCCCCCAAACTCTCTAGAGAGTGCCACCCACTTGGACCCTTGCTGCAAAGGCTCCTGCTGTAGGGATGGGAAAGCAGAGCCCGGAGATCAGGCATGCCCTGCATAGAACACCCCTGGAATCCATTCACACTACTGCCATGCACATGGGAAAGGACAGACCCCACCTCCCCCAGTACTTCACCCTCTCCTCCATGTTGTGACAAACACAGCTCTGTTCCTAGCCGTATTCCCAGTGTGGGAGCAGGGAGCTGCAGCTATCCTGCAGGAAGACAGCTTCCACCACAGGCAGAGACCAGCCAGCCTCCTGCATGCCACACCCTCCTCTTGGGAGGGCGTGGTCTCTCACTGGGGTTCAGGGCTGGGACATGGACACTTCCCGGAGTCCAGAGGCTGGGCTCTGAACTGGGTCTTCACCCCGGCACAGCAGGGCCCCAGAGCCAGGTCTCACCGTGGCCACGATCCTGTGGATGGCAGCAGCAGCCATTTCTGCTCCTTTGGGGTTTTCTACCAGCGTCATGCCTAGATACTTGAGAGTGAAGCACATCCCCTCAAGCAGAGGCTCCTGCATATCAGCCCAGCTCTCAGGAAGCTCTGCAAAGACAAAATGCCTTAGAAGCCACATGCCAGCAGCCCCATGGCTAGTCCCAGCACAGCCACCCCATCTTGTTGCAGCTTCACTGTTCCCAGCAGTAGTGCTGCTACCTGCACTCAACAGGGCACTCTCCTACCTCTGTAACATTCTTGGAAGAGGAACAGAATGAGAGACAGTTCACCCTCAAAGCTTTAGTCCTCCATCCCTGGAGGTACAGGCTCTGTCAGCATAGATAGTAAGCTCCTACATACCTGCATAGGGCCTCAGATGCTGCAGTGTTCACTGCTACCTGCAAAAACCTTGCATTCCTGGGTCTCATCTATTGCACTACAAGCAGGATGTTTTCTGCTTTAATTTCACCCACCGGAACCGCTGGCACACCTCAGGAACAGCAGCATTTGCTGCCACACTCAATCAGATCAAAATCCCCAAGCTGTCCCAATGTATCCAAAGCCAAGCCCTCTAGTAGCTATCATTTGCAGCAGCAGCTTGCAGGGAAGGAATAGCTTGTCCAATGCTCACGATCCAAGCTGAGGTGACTGGGAAGCAACTGCACCACAAAGCTTCTGTGTTAAGGAAGAGCTCAGAATGTTATTTCAAGGATGCAAACTAGCTTGCAGGAAAACACATGCTATGACAAGTCCAATGAACAGAAGGAAGAGAGCTCCCACGTGCATTACTTTGCAGGTCACAGAATTAAAGGGGCACTGGCTTCTGTTTCCTGTGTCCTCTCTTTTCAAACCCCATTGCTGCAGTCAAGGAAAAAAAAAAAAAACAAAAGGGCAGAGTGTTTGTTCACTCAAGAAAGATTCCCTAGGGACAGCCCTCAGCATCTCCAGCTTACTTCAGAAACTAGCTTTTTACCAGCATGTTCTGCCACACAGCAGATGTGCTGGTGGGAGAAGCAGCCCAGGCCCTACAGTCAGTCCTGACACCACTGCTGTTGGCAGAGAACACAGAGAGCAAGTACCATAGAAGCATCCACTCGACCTCTGCTCCCACAAGACAAAGCCTTTGGCTTCAACAGAAAGTCCACTCTCACTGAAAGCAGAAGCTTTAGTTATCAGACTAGTACGCCACAAAGGAACAATTCTCATGCCAAGCACTTGCTGGTGATAATTTTCAAGGAGAGCTGAAGCAGATGTTAGCACACATTTACTTTCTTCAAATCCTAAAGAGCACAAGGATGGTGAGAGAGGAGATATGCAGAAGGGCTAAGACACAAGGAGTCACTGTCTCTCTCTTCTTGAGGATTCAGCCCACAGAGGACGGAAGGAACAGGAACACAGTAGTTACACGCTCTGCTACAAACATCATGTCCACTTCCCTGGGAATTGCCTAGGTATCTACTGTTCACACTAAACTAATACTTTTCAGGATTATTTTTCATCTTTCTTGGGATTAGCTCCCTGAACATTACTGGCACACTTGCAGGCAGCCTCGACTCATAATTGGAATCACCTGAACCCACAGGGAAATCAGGAGACCTTATTTGCACAGCATACTCCTGCACAAATGACAACTACCAGGGAACCCACCTGACACCACGCAGGCGTCAGGGACCTCCACCCAGGGTAGAAGAGCACGGTCTCACTCTGAACTTTGAAAACAGCCTACATGTGCTGGGGCTGCCAGCATGAGTTCTGCTGCTCCAACAAAGCCCTTGGGCAGCTGTGACAGAGCAAACCCAGGCACAGCCCTCCCACTCCACAGGGCTCCTGCTGGTTCTGTGGGGTCCATCTCAGACATGGCTGTGCCGCAGACAGCACGGCAGTCAGCCTGCGGTGAGCAACGTGCAGGCCTGCTGCACCCCCTGCACACACGTCCAGGCCTGCGGAGGACCAGGCGCAGGGCAGTGGTTTGGGGGCTGCAGAGGGTGCCCACGGCTGACGCGCAGCACGTTCCAGCACCTGACCCCCACACACACCGCCTGTCGCAGCCGCGCAGGGCTCTGCAGCCCACCGGTGCGGGTGGCCTCAATTCAGAAGTGGGGCAAGAGGCTGGCAGCCAGGGGACAGTGGCAGGGAGGGCCAGGCCAGCCACCCACAGCGC